TCCTATCATTTTCTCAGTGGTGTTGGAAATGTTTCCATTTATTTTTATTCTATCAGGGAATTTGGCCTGTAAACTTTTCAATTTTATCAAGATTTTCTTGGTAGTGCAGTGCATGGAATGCTTTAAAAAACACTCTACTAATACTTAAAAAAGTATCGACTGGGGACCAAAGTGGCTACACTGTACCCTTTGATCTTATTAACAATATTATTTGAATTTTCTCCATGGGCTTGATGTGTTGGAGGCACCCATGGGTTATTAACTTCTGACGATCGCATCTCCTTAGGTTCTTTTTCACAGTTCCAAAATATTTCAATACTTTTAATTTCACTTGCCTAATATATTGTTATCAGAGCTTTTATTTTTGTCATAATAAAAGGACCTTCTTTTTTCATTTAAAAATTCGAACTTTAATTTGCTTTCTTTCTTGTCTTGAATTTGTCTGACTTTTCTCTACTGTTCCTTTTAAAAATCCTCTGTTTCATTGTCTTTAGGCAGATTCATTGTGGAATGTCGGCCAGGCCATTTTGCCCTCATCTGTCATCTCCCTCCCTCCCCACCTTGGTAGCAGGGATTGAACTCAGGGGCACTTGACCACTGAGCCACGTCCCCAGCCCTATTTTGTATTTTATTGAGTGACAGGGTTTTCCTGAGTTGCTTAAGGCTTCGCTAAGTTGCTGAGGCTGGCTTTGAACTTGCGATCCTCCTGCCTCGGCCTCCCGAGTCCTGGGAGCTGTGGTTCACTGCAGCCTGCACTGGGCACCCCTGACTGCTCTGGTGTGTACCTAGAGGTCAGAAGAATGCCCAGGGATAGGTCCTGCTGAGGGAAAGAGAAGGTCTCTTTTCCTGAGGAAAACCGTCTGTGGCAGAGACTTAGTAGAACAAGTGATTTTTAGGTAGAACAGTAGAATATCTCTTGCTCAGGTGAATCCCCATTGGAGCCCATCACCAGGGCCATGTTGACTTTACTACCTGCTCTGTAGGGTACACCCCTCAGGTAGCATTTTCTGCAAGCCCTTCCGACACATCCTAACCCAAGGTAGAAAAGACAAATCTTCATCCATCTATCATATTCACCAGGAGGCCCCTCAAGGACTTGGAACCTGTGCCTGCTCCTAGGTCCTCAAGTGCACCTGGTGGTGGCTGCCTGGCCAGGAGCACTGGAGCCCAGAGCAGGTCACCTGGCACTTGCTTGGACTTGTAATGAGCCCGCCAGCCCCCAGAGGACTTTAGAAAAACCTGGCAACTCGTCGGGTACACTTCTGGGACCTAGGACCTTGTGTGGGAAGACAAAAGCAAACATGTGAGTGATAACCTGTGTCCAGGACCCTACTGTCACCCTCACGGGTTGGTGTTCCCTGGGTAGATAGAAACTAATGTTAAAACTGTTGTGCATGTTCTATTTTTTTTTTTTAAATTGATATGACTTTTTTTAGACCTTTATTTTATTTATTTATTTTTAGGTGGTGCTAAGGATCGAAGCCAGCACCTCTCACGTGCTAGGTGAGCGCTCTACCACTGAGCTACAGCCCCAGCCCCTGTGCATGTTCTATTTTTCTCTCTTATGCTTTAAGTTATGTATTTTTGACCATCTGCTATAAGCCCCATGGATTTTTTCTTTCTTTTTCTTATAGATTAGAAAATTTACTTTTGAATCTTTCTCTTAAATTTTTTTTTTTCATATTTTGGCTGTTAATTTTTTTTTAAAAAGGCTCTGGTTCAATTTTGAACTACAGGTTTCCCAGGGGATCAGGCATAAGTCTGGCATGCTCCCAAGGGGGGCATCTGCAGAGATCTTTTTCAGGAGGGACTGGAGGGCATTTTGGGGGTGGAAATATCTCAAGGGAAGAATCACATGTCATGAGCCATTAACAATGTTCCCAGGGCTGGGGACATAGCTCACTTGGTAGAGTGCTTGCCTTGCGTGCCCAAGGCCCTGGGTTCAATCCCCAGCAACACACACACACACACACACACACACACACACACACACAAGATGGACCCAGATTGTGATATTCCTCTGATTGAGAACTGGGGTTCTGTTTCTTCTGCTTCTGAAGAACAGGCTCTGTGACTGTGTGACCAGAGGAATATGGTGGCCATGCCAGTTTCTGAGCACAGGCAAGTGGTACTTTTTGGCTTTTGGGACACTGTCTTGGCATCAGGTGCAAAACCATGATGTTCTAGAGGCACACAGTTTTCTACTAGTTGGTGACCCAGCAATGCATGACTGACACTCAGCCTTTGACCTCGAAGGAGACCTCACAATTCTGAGTGGTCATAACCATTCACTTCTCTTCTAGCCAGTTCTGCATGACTTATGTCTAAGCGCTACAGACAACCAGAAAAAACAGAAAAATCTGCTTCTCTAACAATGCTTTAGATCATTGAGGCTTAAGTACCACAGTGCTATGATGGCCCTTGGAAATCTGCTAACCAACAGTAGCAAAAAAAAAAAAAAAAGTAGAAAGTCATTTTTTTCACTTTTTTTTTTGGTCTTTTTTTCTACATTTACCATTTTCCTTGCATCCTTCTCCTCTGTTCCCCCTCCCCCTTTCTTCCTCGTTCTTGAGACTCTCTCACTGAGCCTCCATTCTTGTTCTTTGCAGTATAAATTCTGCTCTCTTCTGTACAGAATCTGGAATTTAATGCTCCAATTGCACTTTTGGTTTCTGTTCAATTCTTCTTGATCTCATTTATTTTTATTTGCATCTCATTTTGTTGGTCTTAACTGGTCCTCTAGGGCTTGGTGTTCTAGTTCCATGGTAAGCAGATCTGACTGGATTCTCTGGAGAATACCGAACAGTTCTCTGTCGTGATTAACTCTTCTTTGTAGATTGTTTTCAAAGACCGGCTCATCTGCATGTTTGGGAGATTGCTTTTCTCCCTTCTCCCCGGCAGGTTTTGAGAAACTACACTATTGGCTGCTTTTTTTGTTCTTGTTGTTGTTTTCCTCTGGTGCTCAGGAAAGCTTTTTCCAGACTTAGGGAGTGTGGAGAGCTTTGTCCAGTTTTCTGTTTACCAGCAAACTGGGACAGCCGTGTGTTCCGGTCCATGTTGGGCAGCGTGTCTCTCATAAACCTGGCTTAGCCTGACTTTCACCTCTTCTGAATGAGCCACGGTGGTGGGGGCTTCTTCGCCTCCCTCTGCATCTCCTCCTGATTTGAATGCTTGTGGGGATCTTCCTGGTTCCAAATCCTTCCCCCCACACTCCCCAAGCTTCCTTGCAGCGGGAGGACACCAAGCCTGGGAAGACAGAGAGGGGACAGTCACTTAGGAATAAGTGAAGGCACTCCCTCTGAAGAGGAGCAGGAGCACTTGGGAAGGGAGGTGGACGGCCGATTCCCTTCCGCTCCTTCCCTTGGACACCCGTGCATCTTCACCAGAGGGGAGGAAGGTCTGGATGCTCTTGTGCACATCTTCCTGTTCGCGTCTCCTGAGGACACTGGCTCTTCCACCTCCCCAGGGCGTTGCTGGAGTGGCTGCCCCTTCCCGACCCCCTCTTCCTCGTGCCCAGCACACCCCACTCAGCCACGTCCCCACTGTCTTCCAAGATCCAGTGAAATGTCACCATCTCTCCTCTCCAAACTTTGCTCCTCGGTTTCCTTCCCTGCTCTGGGCGCCCATGACAGGCTTTACAGACCCCGTCGCATGGTCTCTCGTGGCTCGTGTTTAGATGCCATTGATCTTTCTGGAAGACGGTCAATTTCCCCAATTCAGAGATTGATTTGATTGACTCTTGTGTCCCTGCCCTTGGCAAGACAGTCTCACAGGTGCTTGCAGAAGGGACCGTGGCTGCTCCTGTGGGCACCCCCAGTGCACAGGTCTCTCATCCTGGTGGCAGGCAGGTCGCGAGGTACAAGACCCCGAGTGTTATAAGACCAGGCCTTGGCGCACCTGTTGGCCATCGGCTCCGGTGAGGGGTGGTGCCGACCCCCTCGTGTTGTGGAGGACCACCTTCTCTTTGGGCAGCCCTTAGGGGTCTAGCAGCTTAAATGGCCTGTTTGGGAGGGAGGGTCTAGTGAACCATGGAAGGCCTTGGGTACCACGCTCCAGCATTTGGGTAGGTTGGTTCCACTGACTAGGGTGTGTTCTCAGCCATATTTACTCCCCTCTCTGTTCCTGGTGCTGGAAGTAAAATCTGGACCATCTCCTGTGTTAAAGGCGTGGTCTCCAACTTGAAGCAATTGAGAGGTAGTGGGGCCTTTAAGAGGCGGGCCTTGGGGGAGGCCTTAGCTCACTGGGGGCGTGGCCTTGCAAGGGCCTTGCAGGATGTAGGTCAACTCTTTGCTCCTGGCTCTCCCAGGGTGCTCAGATGGCTCCTCCACATGCTCCCCCATGATGCATGGCCTGCCACAGGCACAAAGCAACAGGCCAACACCCCCCCGCCCCCCCCCCACCAAATCCTCCAAAACTGTGAGCTCAGAAAACCTTCCCTCTTTTTAACCGATACCTCAGGTGTTTTGTTGATAGCAACAGGAAGCTGAGAGCACACCCAGCCTGCTGCTCGTCCACCTGGTGATAATAATAGTCTCTGCCTTGTAGTCTGCTGGGGCCATGAAAAGAGCTACTATCCAGAAAGCACAAAGTACTGCTCCAGCTCCTGGCACCCCCGTGTGGGTCCTGCAATTGTCATAACCCTGATCCGCGAGGATTGGCTGGTGTATCCACCTGCGTTAAGAAAGACTCTGACGGCCTTCAGGGCTCAACTAGGGAGAAAAAAACACCATGAGTCTCCAAGAAGTGGTGGCTCCTAGATCAATGTTGGTTGGCCCGTCCAGTAGGAGACGGAAAAGTTTTAATTTAAAAGGGTCCTGCGGGAATGCGGTGTCCACCTGGCAGCTTCTGGACGATCGCTAGAGTTGAATTGAAAGGGGAGGCCAAAGGAGCTCCGGGTCCCTCCTAGGAGAAACGGTGGTGTGCGCATGCACAGACCCATTTGCACACCTTGCGCACAGGGGCCACACCGGGTGCAAAGGTGACCCGAGTTTCCTTTCCCCCTCTCGGCCCTGTGCGGGACTTCCCCGTGGTGAAGGGAGGGTTAAGTGTCTGGAGAAGCTCAGGGCTCCTTTTGCATATGAGCATTTCCATGTTAATAGAACGGTTAAGGGAAGATGCTCTCTGGCAATTGATTGTATAAATATTTTATCTGGAGTAAGTGGCCAGGAGGAGGTCTCCTGAAGATGTTCCCGGAGAGCAGGGTGAAGGATGAAATCAGGGCGTTCTCGTGGAAGAAATAAGAGGCCACCGGGAGTTGCAGACACTTGATCCGAAGTGTAAAAAACAGTCCCCTCGCCTCGGTGCAGCCTGCAGCAGCCGGGGCCGATTAAATCCATAATGGAATGAGTGAGTTTGGGCCGCATAAATTTGTCTTCCTTCCCCAGGAATCCTGCCCGCCGCCTGGCTAGATTAATGGCCAGGAGCCTCGCACATAATGAAGTGTGCTACCCTGGCACCCGCTCATGAATTTATTATGGTGTCCACAATTGGGCTGGATGGCGGAGACATCTTTATAAATCCTGCATTTAGCGCCGCCGAGATGAGCACTTGGCTCCTAATGGTGATCCTGATTTATCACCGGGGGCCCTGCTCCTCCGCCGGCCCTCCCCCGCGCCCCTCGAAGGAAATCCAGGTCATCCCGCTGATGGAAATGAAATGTGAAGGTAATTAGAGGGTGCCAAATGGAGATGGGAGAGGGGGCAGTGTGGACGCTTTAAATATGTTGGTCATCTTTTTCCTTGAAGCAATTATATCAGGCTGATTTATTTTTACAGTTTATAATCACTTAACTACCTGTGGCTGGGGATTTTTTTTTTCTTTTTTTAACCTCAAGCTTTTGGAGACAAGAGACAGGTTTTTGATTTCTTTTTCTTGGGATGGTAGGAGAATTCATTCCAAGGCCCTCAGGCCCTGAATTCCTCTGCAGTTTCTCAGCCAAAGCAGCTGGGCTGCTGAGAGGGGCCTGATGGGTCCCTCTGGGGGCCGCCTGAGCTGCGTCTCCTTCTCAGCAGCGTTGGGGGTCCATCACTAGGGGAGGGAGTGAGAGTGTTCAGTTTTCCTGCAGGTACCAGGGGCTGGCCCATGACAGGTGGAAGAATGGAATGATGGGGAATGATGGGGACTGATGTCGGATGGTCACAGGCTGTCATCCTGGCTTGTCTCTACTTCTAAACTATCTGACTGTGAATGTGAACCTCAGCTTATCCTCCATTAAATGGGTATAATAATAATAATATGATAGTAATAATGACATCCTGGGCTGCAATGAAGATCAGATGTAGAAATGTCTGCAAACTCTTAGCACAGTGCCTGGCACACAGTTGCCAATGGGAAATGAAGGACAAGTGAAAAGTACTTAGAGCCATGACACTTCTAGCCAGGTCAACACATATTTAATCTAAGAACTATGTTTGTAGCACTGTCAATATAGACTAAGGGATCAGTACTGCCACCAGGTCCTCTCTGATGGTGGGGAAGGGAGGGAAGCCAATGGCTTCAATACAGAGCTGTAGGAATGGTAAAGAACAGGTGTCGTGAAAATACGGTGGAAGAGAACTTAACCTTAAGAGGACCTTTGAGGTTTCATTGTGAAAGCATGAACCACAGTGTATGGAGCACTTATTGTGTCATATCGTGTTTGATCTTCATAACAGTCTATGGGATGGAAAATTTACTCTTGAGGGAAAGAGGACAGAGAGGTAAAGTGACCTGCAGAAGGCAGCACAGAATACCAGAGAGAGCTCTGGACTTGAGTCTTGGCAGGACCAGTTGGCAGGTCCCTGGCCACATAAAATGAGACGTATTAAAAGGCATACATTTTATATGTTATTAAATAGAAGTGTTTAAGAATTTGGCTGAGATGCTGTTGAGTAATAGTGTAGTGTGTGTGTGTGTGTGTGTGTGTGTGTGTGTGTGTGTGTGTCTAACCCCAGATGTTTTTGATTTTCTTTTCATCTTTATTATCAATAGTCATTTCATAATGTGTGTTTTTCTTTGTATTTGGTCCTGCTTAATTTAGCACATCTTGAACATGTCTCTTGATATCTTTTGCAGTTCTGACACATCCTCAGCCATTATCTTTTCAAATTTTGTATTATCTCTATTCTTCTTCCTTGCCCTTTCTGGATATTTTCAGACTGAATATTTTCTGTACATATATCTTCCAGTCAGTCGATTCTCTTTTCAGCTGTGTCTAATCATCTGTTAAATCTACTTATTTGGTTCCTAATAAACTCATACAACTCTTGTATTTTCCACCTCTAGAACTGCCACTCGATTTGTTAAATGTAGATTCTAACTTTGTGGTCAAATTCTCCATTTCTTAATTTTTTTCTTTCATATAAGAAGCACACTCATTTTCTTTTTTTATTTATATATGACAGCAGAATGCTTTATAATTCTTATTACACATATAGAGCACAATTTTTCATATCTCTGGTTGTATACACAGTATATTCACACCAATTCGTGTCTTCATACCAATTCATGTCTTATTGTGAAAGCATGAATCACAATTTATGTAGCACTTTTATGTCACATCGTGTTGTACTTTGGATAATAATGATCATCACATTCCACCATCATTAATTACCTCATGCCCCTTCCCTTCCCCTCCAACCCCTCTGCCCTATCTAGAATTCGTCTATTCCTCCAATGCTCCTGCTCCCTATTCCACTATGAATCAGCCTCCTGATAGCAAAGAAAACATTTGGCATTTGTTTTTTGGGGGGAATGGCTAACTTCACTTAGCATTATCTTCTCTAACTCCATCCAGTTACCTGTAAATGCCATGATTCTCTTTTATTGGTGAGTAATATTCCATTGGCACACTCATTTTCAAGTCTATATCTAATATCTCCAATATCTGAATTACCTGTGAGTCTGTTCTGTTGTCTTTCTTATTCCTTTGTTCCTGTGTCTTGGTATATCTTGATAAATTTTATTGAATGTTAGATATTGTGCATAAAAAAAAAATCATGGTCTCTTGTTGCTGTTTTCTTGTTTGAAGAGTTTGAAGCAGATCACCTTAATCCAATCAAGTGTGGAGATGACTTGAGGTCGGGGCTCACCCCTCTAGGCTGCCTCTAAGTACTAGCAGATCCCTTAAAGGGGATGTGGTATAGGTGGTCAAGTTTGTCTCAGTGAATTTCTCTTCTCTTTGGGATATTTGTCTCTCAAGGTTGGCTACTTGGTACCTCTCTGAATCTTCAAACAAACAAACAAAAATATGTCATCCAATTTTTCTAGTTATTCTCAGTGGAAGAGTTCACTACAGACTCATCTAGAAGCAAAAGTCTGACCTATCATATTAATTATGATTTTCAAGTTTTCTTCTCATGTTTTCTCCTATAATTCTTATTCAAGTCAAACCTATTTTCATAGACTCTTTACAAGATTGTAGGCCTTGGGCTTAGAGGGACTAAGCTGATTTTTTAAAAAAAGTTTTTGATCCCTAATCTTCAACTTAGCAACTGAATAAAATTTGTCATTACTAATGTTCACTCAGTGCTTATTATATACCAGAACTATCGACGTATATGAACTCACAGAATCACCATTAACCCCACTTTACAGATGAGCAAACCGAGGCACAGAGAGTACGATAGCAAGCCTTCAAGAGGGCCCTGAAAGACCCTTTATTCACCCACATCACGCCTTTTTGATTTCCACCCACATTGCAGCGGGCTTGATGTGTGTGGCTAATGAACTAGGGAGAGGTGACGGTGTGTCCCAGTGAACTAGGGAGAGGTGACGGTGTGTCCCAATGAACAATGGAGAGGTGACGGTGTGTCCCA